GATATAAATCTTAAATTGATGAGCATATGACATAAGCTGTTTACAAACGTATTTGAGGGAAATTCACGAGCTCAGAAAGTATACTTTACGGAAATGCCACAAACACGAACATGCTATGGGAATTGAATACAACTGGCATAAGCGACGTATGAAAGTTGATAGAAGAGACCATAGGTAGACATGTATATGAGAAAGAAAAGCATTAGCACAAAAATGAAAACCCACCACTTGAAATATAGAGATATACCATGCAAGCACGTGGTTATAAATCGAATGCAGTGTACCTACAAGTGCTGCGCCGGTTCTGCCTATGTTCTCTGCAGGACCCGTCGTCCCTTCGGTAGTGGTCCCGAGTGGCCTCGCTCATGGCTCACTAGGCCTGCCTGACTCAGGCACTCGCGACCGCATTTGCTACAGCACCATGCGCTCGATGTCGAAGGAGTACAACCCATCGGTGCTTGCCGCTTCGTCTCTGCATGCATGAGGTCTTTCTCCCGCACTTCAGCAACTGCCTTCGTGGTGAGATCGCACCATGCACGCAGATCAACCGCCTTCGATTCCCATGACCTGTTTCGGTATCCGCGTCGAATCCATACGGCTCACATGACCGAGCCATCTCAGGTGTCTCAGTAAAAGTATGCAGTCCACTGCATACATCCCACTTCGGCGCAACACTTCCGTTTCAGCAACTCTGTCGCCCCAAACGATGCGCAAAATCCGTCGCAAACACTGCTGATGGAACCGCTCGAGATATCGCACATCCTGCCGGTACATTGTCCACGTTTCACTGCCGTATAGAAGAACGGACAGCACCATGGATTTGTACACCATCAGCTTCGTGCCAATGGTAAGCTGATGGTTGTTCCACACTCGGTACTCAAGCTTCCCGAATGCTGCTGCCGCCTTCGACACGCGACTACGCAACTCAACGTGTAGCTGCTGGTCAGTCGACATAACATTCCCAAGGTAGCAGAAGTGGGAGGTGGTTTCCATTACTTTAGCACCAATGTTGTTTTTCCGCTATATTGAAGATTGCACCTCCGGTGTAGACTGAAAGAAACAAATAGTTTTGCTTGTGTTGATGGTGGGCCCGAATTTTGCCGCTGTAGAAGTAAGGCACTAGTCAGGTGCTGCAACTCATCCGCGCTGTGTGCAAACAACGCACAGTCGTCAGCAAACAGCAACATACGGACAGTTGTCTCACAGACTAGAGTTCTCGCACCGAAACGACGGATGTTCAGCAACCCACCATCAATACGGCGCTCCACACGAACACCGTAAGCACAAGCCGCATCAAAAGCACAGGACAACATTGCATGAAGATATATATTAAACAAGGCAGGAGATAAGACAGCCTTGCTTCACACCAGAGACAACTGCAAAGTCATTCGAGGTCTCTCCACTCAGCTGCACCCTCGCTCGCATGCCGCTATGCAGACATTCAATTAAACTTACAAAGTTACGCGGGCAACCAAACTTACCCAACACCAGCCACAATGCCTCGCGGTTCACCGTATCAAATGCCTTGGTGAAATCAACAAAAAGTGAGTACAATGGCTGGTGTCGTTCTCTGCACTTCTCTTGCAACTGACGAGCCTCAAACACCATATATATAGTGCTGCGACCCGAACGGAATCCACACTGCTCTTCCGCCACGTTAGGTTCCACAACCTGACTGACGAGGCGGTTGAGCAGGATTCGGGCAATCACCTTGCCCACACAACTCAGCAAGTTGATGCCACGATAATTCGTGCAACATTGCTTGCTACCTTTACCCTTGTACAGTGGTAGCACAAGGGCATCCTTCAGCTCAGCAGTCAGCTCCTCCTCAATCCATGTGTTGCATCAAGTGGTGCAGCGCAGTCAACAACGTGGGTCCGCCGTGTTTCAATACTTCAGGCGGGATCCCGTCGGCCCCGGCACACTTGCCGTTTCGCAACTGAGAAAGTGCCCTCTGCGTCTCATCCAGCGTCAGCGTATCCGCCAGACTCGCCTTCACATCGTGCTGCTTCAGGCCGTTCAATGTAGGCCAGTCGATCTCTGAACGGTTGTTCAAGAGACAAAGTGTTTTCGCCAGCTCTGCATTATATCTGCAGACTGTGTGCAGGTAGCGCTGAACTACCATCGATCAGTGTCCTCAGCGGCTCCATACACCGCCTTCAAGAAGTCAAAAAATTCCTTGTGTTAGCGAAGTTCGGCGTAGCATTCCATCTGCTTCGCCTTCTCCGCCCACCATGCATTTTTAATGCGACGGAGCTCTCGGGTCAGTCGCCGTCGAAGTTTGAGAAACCGACTACTCTTCCCCAAGTCACTGGGATCTGCAACATGTGCAGCAAATGCTGCATTCTTCTCCGACACCAATGCGCCCATCGTCGCATTGTTCTCATCAAACCAATCAGGCCGCTTACAGTTTGCGCGCCCGATAGTCTGCTCGGCAGCAGCTGTCACCTGGTCGCGAATGTGGTGCCACAGGTCGCCCACCGTGACTATGCAGTCCACATCACACAGGCGTGCAGCCATCGCCTACTCCAGCTCCATACGTTTCGCCACAGTACCGAGGGAGAGAATGTTAAATTTACGCCGGTTAACGGCGGGAGTGCAATACACAGGTTTACGAAAACATGTGTACAGTTTGGTCCACAGCAATTTGTGATCAGTGCCACACTCAGCACGACGTGTCATGTGCACTTCACGCATATCACGCTGACGTACGATGACATAGTCGAGCAGGTGAGCGAGACCACTCCGTGGGTGCGTCCAAGTTGCTGCACTCAGTGCAAACCGAGTGTTCGTGATCGTCAGACCGTGAGTGGCACACAGTGAGAGCAGCCTGCCACCGTTCGCATTTGCTGAACCAACGCCATGCGAACCGATAACATCTTTCCACACCGATGCATCACGCCTAACGCGCGCGGTGAAATCACCCAGCAGAAATAGTCGGTCGCTCCTCGGCACAGACCGTATCACAGAGGATAGCTCAGTGTAGAACTGATCGCCCGTGTCATCAGAATAACACATGGTCGGACCGTACGTGCTTATAAAGGTGGCAAACTTACCTCTTCCGATTCGTAGGCGAACAGTCATCAGTCGCGCGCTGATGCCTGTTGGCTCACCCACCAGCCATTGAGGCGATCGGATATTACAAATCTGACCCCATGATCACGTGGTGCTGAAGCGGCGTTGCCCACCCAGTAGAATGTGTAGCCAGCACCTGCTTCATGCAACTTGCCTTGCTCAGCTAGCCGGGTTTCACTGAGCGCCGCAATATCGATGTGGTAGCTCGCCAGCTCCATTGCGACCAGTGCAGTGCGTCGCTCCGGGCGCTCGCTGAGGTTCCGGTCCAGTAGTGTGCGCACGTTCCAGCACCCGATGCTGAATGCTTTGCGCGCAGGTATACGATTGCATTGGTGGGCAACCGCAAGCGAAGTGACGGTTGTGCATCGGAGGTTTGCTTGAGGGACTCCGCCCGGAGCCTTTGGCTCAATAGCCTGACCCACAAGGCAGTGGAGAGCAGATCCAGCTCGGGAATGTGATTGCAGAGGCAGATTGGGATCTGACTGACGACCGTCACACGCAGCTTTGGAGGTACTGGAACGATTCGTATATGTTTTGCGACCGTAGTAGGATACGCACCTGCGACCACGGCCAGACGCAGGTGGGTTTTGGCGGGTTTGCACCAATTTGACCAGGGGCTGTCTGGATTGAGGCGGGCAGTAGCAAACCATTGAACACCCGTAGGTGTCCTCCCACCGTCAGAGACAATGCGTGGCACTCGAGCTCTACGCCTGTTGTCTCCCATGGCTAGGTTTTGCGGGAAGTGGGCCATAGACCACTTCCTAACCTCGGAAAAGAATGGACTAGGATACTGCCAGGGCGCCCACACCTGACAAGAGAACGACTCGGGTCCTCAGCCAAAGCCTCCGATTAAATGAACACCCGAAAGGCAGTCGGTCTGGCACATGGTCAGTTCACTGACTCATGCGGATTGGTGTCCTGGATCTTAGCAGGGAGAAGGGCGAAACCCAACTCCCACCCAGCGGTCGCCACGAGGCGTCCAGGACATGAGCCAATGGCGCAACACTAGCAGCAGTGGGTACATCATCTGTTAGGATCTAGCCACCACCAGCCTCAGCGCACCATAGGCTCTGCCGATAAGTTTTGTAATACATACTTGATAATACGCAGAGAAATTTGTCCGGAATTAAGTTGTGCACAGTGCTTCGGTGTTAACGATTTTACTGGAAATGATAAACCGATGAACAACAACGAAATGCGCGCCTAAAAAGGTGTTTTCACATGTAAGAAATTATAGCGAGCAATATACACAATTGGTTCCTCGTCGAGCGGAAATGAAATAAAGGAATGATGAAATTCGAGCTGGTGCAGAGGATGCAAAACGGACGGTGATTCTCAATCTGAGCATGCTCAAATTATCTACGAGATCCAGCGCTCAGCATAGCGCTCTGCTGCATCAGGATTACAAAAAATAGTAGCTAACCTCTGCTCCGGCACTTGTGTTAGGAAGGCGAAGACGGAGGCCAGGTAGACTTCAGTAGAAGTTAAGGCAGAACGAACAGCGATCAAGAAGACGAAGGGCAATGGCATCCTGATTTGGACCTGGACTCCAGATATAGCTAGTGTATTCTAGTGGATCTACGCAGTATCAGCTCAGCTTGTTGCCCTCCTAAGGGCTTAGAACAGAGCAAACAATATGGAATGAGATCAGACTTAGATTCTGGGTTAAACATCAACATTAGCCCAGAGACTTCGCTCGGTTTCTCGCGATGTATGTAAATGAGACATCTAAATCAGTTTTATATTTCACCGAGGTCCACTGCGACCGTAGCTGATAAACCACCGATGTGATAGTAGTGGGTCGATACACCGGCAAAGGATGATGACCCAAGATAGCGCCGACAATGTTCGGAACACAGAGAAATGCAAATGGTTGATACGGCAACAGAGGCTGAACCGAATTCATTCGACATGTGTGAACGTACCGCACGTAAAGTGCTGTCCCGACCAAACAAGTGGAGTCTACGGCGTCCCAGGCAAAAGTGTTCAATGATGTGGAAGATCTCCGTCGGTTTGTCTTTGGAAGCATAGCCACCATACTTCGGGGAGTCCTCGATGATGAGGTCAATGTCGACATTGGCATGGATGAAATCCCCGTCGGTAGATCTGCGCACTGTCCCGTGAATGCCCATTAGGCAGTGTTCCTTGGTGCGTTGGAAAACAGCTCCAGGTTCCAGCGCCTCGTGCCCAGGTGTCCCCTTGTTAGTTTTTATCCAGCAAATGTCCTCGCAACGTCGAAACCCCCATTTCCGAAGGCACTAGAAGAAAAGATCACAGTAAGTTAAATTTTTCCACCGTAAGCTAGGGTACAGGATTGAGTTTCGGGATGAGGTTAGAGCAGATTGGAGCTGGTACACGCTGTAACAATACCAGTTCAAACAGGCGGATGGAAGATGACACTGCAAGTGCACAGGAAAGAAGGGACATCGCGATATCATGATATGTAAGTGGAAAATGTGAATCTGTCGGAAAAAATTGTTGAATTTGTTCCAGATGCAAGAGTACGCGAGAGATCCCGCCACGCTGTCCAGCAAGTCAAAACGGAAGCACGAAGGACGTGGTATGGTGACCAGGTTCCATGCCAAGCCACATCAATCTCACGTCGAGAGCTGCAATCGTTCTACTGGAAGCGAGCAGTAATCGTTAAGAACCCGTGTCCGGCTAGCCAAATACCTGCACAGTTCATAGAAAGAGCAAGTCATAGACAATGAAGCCTTGATAACCCATGGTGAATGAAAGGCGGTATATAGATGTTCGTGTTGTAAGGTTACCCGTAATTCTTTAGACGTTATCATTAGCCAGAATGGACTTGAACGGTATCACGGCAGAAAGCGAAGAGAGACAGACTCGATACGCATGCAGCGGTCAGTGAGCGGCACTACAGTAATGCAAATAAATGACGAAGGTGCATATCAGCGCAAGTTGGATTCATGATGAAGCCACCTGAGGGCACGAACAGAGCGAGAAGTTTGAGTAGAAATCAAGGAATTGCAAGCGCATCTTGTAAGATAGACCGTGTAAGTGGCCATACAGACTCCAACTAACAGGGAAGCGGCGAACCCCATGACAGCTTTGAGTTAGGTCCGCTGACATTAAGGGTTGATATTTTCCATATAACGGTCACGCATTTTAATCATCCCCCTTATCGTGTACTTTCTGGTAAACCTATTGTTTCTTGTCGCCTCTTGAAATTTCACCCGGCTGTTATCAGTCATAGTTAACCAGATGCATTGGCCTGAACTGGAACCCGGAAAAGAAAGCAAGTCGTGCGGAAAACACCAGACGTAGCGGAAAGTTTCGGTGTTGCTCGATCCCACTACTGCGCTCCCCGATTGAGTTCACTTTTGTTTCATCTCTTCAGGTAAAGGTGATAGAAGGGGTAGCGAATGTCACGCTGGATCTAGTTGTTGATGCGGGACGCCATGAGCACTAAACCAGTGAGTTCCTCGACAGTGTGTGTCGCAATACTAAAGCACGGAGGAGGGTGATCCAAAACCCAATGCCAAATTCATAACTGCTGTGTTAAGCTTCTTCATTGATCTAGCGATAAAGGAGTCTGCGTTCAAGCACTACGTCTAGGTCTCACTCCTTAGCTATATCTAACTCTATTTAAAGAGACCGAACGAGGACGAAACTGATCCTGCAATGCAGTATTGGGTGCGTTTAGAATGAGATCGTGTGCCGTAACTCAAGCGCACGGTGGGGTCTCCAAAACCCAACAGTGAGGTGCAGCATTTCCACCGAGATATTGTGATCTGTGACTCTATACGCCACAGACAAACGAAACATACAGTGTTACGAACTTCGGCCACTGCTTCGCATCATCAGGCTTCACGATTCCATGAATGGCCATATTATTTAATTGAACCTTTGCCTGTTTCTTTTTACTTTAAAATCCGCTGTATACCTTGCTGTATTAGAAAGCATGTGTTCCCTTCAAATTCGTGGAAGCTACTTGGAACCGAGCGAGTAGTCATGAGTTCAGAGACTTTTGGAAACAATCGGTTGGTATAGTAGTTTGGTAACGTTTTGCCATCGATAGCTCCGCTAGCCTGACGAGCATCGGTGCGTGGATCAGAAGGAAAGTGCAAATCGACTCCCAATGTCAACGCTATGGGCTTATCCATCAAAGTCATGAAGCATAAAGGAACACCTGGAATATTCTCACTGTGATCGAACCACCTGAGGTGACATCAGAAATTGTTACTCTAATCACATCATGGTTCGAGTCTCGGGTAACGCGTTTATTGCCCCTGTTTGCAATAAAATCGCACCCCAATTGCACATTGATTCACCTGGTCTGACAAAGCCCTTGTGTCGAGGGCAAAACGTTACCAAACTACTATACCAACCGAGTGTTTCCGACCCTCTTTGAACCCATTTGTTCCCTTATGTCGCTATAATGGTGTAACATGATTGTAATAATATCCTGGCCATGCTCGAAAGTGTACATCTCGTGAAACCGAGAATATCCATTATTGCTTTTACTAACACTGCGGGAGTGAGTCGACATTTCGTCGTAACTGTAAAAGGGTTACGTGAAGATAGACTCCTGGTGGCAAAAGGGCCGAACAGGTATCGGTATTCTTCAGCTGCAGTCAAGGTGAGCTACCATCCTACTTGTCAAAGGAAAGGCGTATGGCGTTGAAGTGCAGGCGACGTTAATTATTAGATTGAACGTAAATAATCACGGAGTTCTAAAGACGAGCAGAGTGCCTACTAAGTGCGCAAATCCGATTGATCGATCAACGAGCGAATCATGCTGAAGCCAACCACACTGAATCGGAAGAGCACAACAGGACTGAAACGAGGAAGGTGGGCGATTCACGAAAAGCTAGTGCCACACCATTTCGACATGATCAGAACTCACCGTTCGTGCCGCGTCGAGACCCTCACCGGAGCCACACCAAATCCACACGAAGGAACGCGGTGCGACAATTTGTTCTATTTCCAGTCGCTCAATCTGATGAAATGGAAAGGGACGATGAACAGCGGCCGTGGACCGCACCACAACTCAGATGATAGAAAGCATAAACATAAAGTAACAAAAAAACTGCCACTTCAACAGAAGCTACAATATCTGGACAAGGTGAATTTGTGGAATTCACGTAAGGCACAAATCGAGTGACAAACGTATATAAGGGAAACAATGGGTGGTCGCCTCTCGGAACTTCTATTTACCGACAGACACTGATTATCTGAAGTGAAAAAGAACATGCGTCTTGCCGAACGAGAACAATGAACAAAAATGTAGGCAATATTGTTTGCAGCAAAATTGCGGCTGCGGCTAGAGTCCGATCTGGCGATCAGAAGAGATCGATAGAGCAGTAGAAGCGTCCAGCGTATAGTAGGAAATCCATTCCCCAGGTAAAATGCACAGGTTTGTATTAGGTACCAAGGAACCATGAACAATTGGGGACAGATTGCCTTTTAGCCTTGGATAGTGAACTCTTGTTAGCATTCATGCTTACGTGCGTATAACGCAAGTCAGAAGAGAGGAAACGATTGACCAGTAGCCTTGGTTTATCACAACTGGCAGTTAACAGCCAAAACGTACTTTTCAATCACGTGAGGGTAAACTGGCAGATGCAGCTTCAGACTGCTGGCGTATCCTATAAGATGGTATCCGTGTGCTAATCACCCACTAACTAACAACAATAATTCTCGTCCTTCAAATGAAGAATATAAGATGATTACTTTATCGAGTAAGGAGGATTTTGAAGAACCTGAAGATATAAGCCGGGAAAGTAATCCGAAGACATACCGACAGCTGCTCCCAAAACCACAAAGATGGCAGTAAAGAAATTACAAACGAGTGTAGGGGTTCGAAAACGACACTCAACAAGAAAATAGGCATAAAAACACTTAGGTGTACTAGTCTTGCCTCATCCCATGTCCAGTGTTGATCAAACAATGCCCCATTCATTCGATGATATTCCTCCAGAGGCGGTTCAATCAGTACGACGTCAAATTTCGTCTTCAGTTTTGTCAAATCGAACGTCTTTAGATCGGCTTGTAAGTACATCGGTGGAAAGCCGCGGGATTGGATGAGGTCGTCTTTGAGCCGAATCAACTCCCGCAATTTCGGATATTCTTCGAACCGATTGCGGAGACCTTTAAAGAACAACATGATCCAATACGGAAGGTAACACACATATAACAACTCCCTGTCAATAAGCAGTCAATGAAAACAAACAGTTCCTTCAGCAACAAAGTGAGCGGAAGCAACGTTTTACACGAAGGTGTTGGACGCAGCCGGAAACGCAATGGGCGAATACAAGGTTTGTCTGCGCTGGATCTCAGAGAGTCTGCACAGTGTTACCGTTTTGAAAGTGAAGTCACGTTATGTTTCGCTAGGATTGAAAATCTTATTTGAGCAGGAGTGGTTACCGCAGCTGCTGCATAATGGATTGCTGAACTGGTACGGCATAGATGATTAGAGAGAGTGGACAGTAAATGTTGTTGACGCGCGTCCGAAGTCTTGGAATATAATTGAAACTTATGGAAAAGTTGGTATATTATATGGACAGCACTTCGCTGATACCATAAAAGCTGCGTAGGATAAAATGGACTGGAACGTACTTCGTGCAACAGTTTATAGAGAACATCAGTGAAGATGGAGATGACGTAAACGTTAATCAGATGATGACTACGACTACGTGTTGATGCGTTTTACTCTTACAATGGAAAGTACGTTACAGAGGTGATGGGGCTGATGGTTAGCAGCATCCCGTTTCGGATTTGCCTGTCACTGTGGTCAACCACAGGACGCCTACGCCTACAGAGGGACCATGGTTGGCTTGCGCTGCACCACTCACAGCTCCAAGCACACACCCCATATCCAATGTAAACCCGAAGGAATAAGATCGGGAAGCATGTGGATGGGAGCCACGTTTCATCAACGGAGCCGGCCCACACTCCTTCACAGGCAAACACAAGCACGCTGTATTTGGGGAATCAAGCGTACACAAGACGGTGGCTGGACCGTAGTCCGCTCCACACTGAGTGCATGGAACCGCTCTTTGAGCCTAGCACCGCCACAAGAACCGTGCACCCGTCCCCTCCAGCAACGACCAACTGTCTCCTGGAGCCAGTATGAACGAGGTAGTGGGTAATAGACAGGTAGGCATTTTGTCAACATGCACATCAAGCGCAGCCACACCGGGGATATCAAACAATAGCCATTCAATTTAAACGACAAGCTGAAATAAAATAAATCCAATAATGCATACAGATACGGTGGCATAACACTTCGCTAAATTACCCTGTGAAGTAAGTTGGTTAGCAACGAAACGGTGATAAGTAAGAAATGTCCACAATTTACTTAAAAATGCTACAAACGCAACAAAATTATCGAAGATAAGCGTAATTAGCGTAAGCAACGTGGCAACTTAATAGAACATTATTCCGGTAGGCAGAACAAACCAAATAAAGTGGAATGAAATTTATCCAGCTTAAAGAAATAGGGTTGATACACCCGCAATAACAAACTAAGGTCACAAACCAGCCAGAACATTAGCACGGGTGGTTTGGGCAATCTATTACGTCACAAAGTCCAGTTAAATCAGTTAGTTCAGTGATTTATGATGCCCACAAGTCCCTCCCGGCAAAATTGGACACTGAGTCGATTTCCGTCATCCACGTGGATGACGATTCAATAAGCAGGATTATACACTGACTATCACCGCACTGAAGATGCCACCTCGCATGGTGGTGAAACGTATGCGATCGCTTCATCATGCTTGGAAAAACGATCAACAGGTGTACTCTATTCATGCCCACTTTCAAAGTAAAAGGACAGATTTATCGTAAAGCCGGATCCCTGCTTACTGTTCCAACTGATCAACATAAATTCCTTAAAATGCACTTCATCGGTGATGACAATGATGAATTGAATGCATGCTGCGGAACTTCTGCCGGCAGAAAAAGGTCCATCGTTTCCCAATTACAAGAGCTTCTTCACAAAAAAATAAGTTAGTGTGTTTATTCAAAACATCTATTGACATGATGACATCTGAAACGCACAAGAACGTTATTTGTGCTAACAAAACGCCAACTGGAGAACATGTGCGAAGATTTAATGCTCCAACTATAGACGAAGTTGCAATCGTTATAGTCGGAGATCAATTCCAACCGAGAGATATTGTTCTTCATCGGAGAAACAATCAGCTGATAAAAGTTGCCGAAACTCATTGATGCTGCGACGCTATGCAATATCCTACCATTTTTGAGAAAGCCAGTCAGTGGCGAAGATACACATAAGGAATGTAGCGCAAAGAACCTTCATTCACACCGATTATTGATTCGAGAGAATGAAGACGACAATCACATTTTGAAATGTTGTCTATTGTTTCATCAATACATCGTCGATATGTACACCAAAATCGAAATCGAACGTTTGTTATTCATCCGTATGGAATCAGATCAAGCTTCGCCCTGAAGAATCCGTTCATTTGACAGATATAGTTGGGAATGATGGCAACGCAGCTGACGTTAGGAGACTCACAATTTTGCCCTCTTCATATACGGGCAGTCTGCCGCGTCATATGCATGAGTACGCTCCAGATGCTATTGCGTATGTTCGTCATTACGGGCATCCCGACCTATTCATTACATTCACATGCACAATGCAACTTGGGACGACATACAGCTCCGCCCTGGGCAGTCGCCGGTGGATAGGCATGAGATCACAGCACGCGGTTTCAGACAAAAGCTGAAATCGCTCATGAAGGTCTTAGTAAAACACGAGGCGAGTTGGTTGTTGGATGTACTCAGCGGAATGGCAAAAAGAGGATTGTCACACGCACATATACTAATATGGCTCTAAAACAAAATTACTTCAAACGAAATCGACGATGTAATATGCGCTGAAATACCCGATCCTGACGTCGATAAGGACTTGCATGAAGTTGTGACGAAAAATATGGTACACGGACCCTGCAATTCAATGAATCCAAACTCAGCATGCATGATAGACGGAAAATGCTCAAAGCGATATCCTCGAGTATTGTTATCCAACACGGTTATAGGAAATGACGGATACCCCTTACATAGAAGACGATCAGCAGAAAACGGCGGTAACGTAGTCACTATACCAATGCGAAACGATGACATCGAAGTCGATAACGGGTGGGTTGTTCCGTACTCGCCTTTACTATCAAAAACGTACAAAGCGCACATAAACGTGGAATACTGCAACTCCATCAAATACATATGTAAGTACGTGAACAAGGGCAGCGACAAGGCAGCTTTTTGGCCTGAAACCAAACAGAATACGGGTATACATATGGATGAAGTCGCTTGGTGTCAAGCTGGAAGATATATAAGCAGCAATGAAGCTGTATGGCGCATTCTAGCATTTCCGATACATAAACGAAGTCCAGCAGTCCTTCACCTAGCGGTACACCTGGAGAACGGACAACGCATTTATTTCACAGGTGCAAATTTTCGTCAAATGGCCCTGAATCCAACGGCTACAACGTTAACCGCTTTCTTCACGTTATGTCAACAAAACGCGTTTGCGAAACAACTGCTGCATTCCGATGTTCCCACGCATTACACATGGAAGGCGAGTAGAAAATCATTTGAACGACACAAACGAGAGTGCGAGTCGACGGACAACCTGGCATCTTCAAGGAACTACCATAAGCACACTGTACACCGTGCATCCCAATCAAGGTGAATGCTATCATTTTTCGCATGTTGTTGGTCAATGTGCTTGGTCTTTCCAACAATTGAGAATTGTCAATGGCGTTACACATGCCGCTTTCCGCAGTGTATGTCAAGCTCTGAATTTATTGGAAAACGACCGACACTGGGATTTATGCACTAACGATGCGTGCAACAAGCCAAAACATAAGTAAATTAGCGCATTGTTTGCAATCATTTTGATCGTTTGCTCTTCTACAACAGAGCACAGGGAAAAATATAAACCGCACATGACTGACACTGACTGACATGACTGTCGAATAAGCAAGGAAAATCTCGATAGGAAGATGGAATTTCCAGCAGAAATATACTGTGAAGTGATCGAAGAGTTGTGCTTAGAAATCGCAAACAAAGCTCTAAATCAATTGGGAATGCCACCACCGACTTGATTTGCTGCTGCTTCGTTTGATGCCGAATCGCGTCGGGAACTAAAGTACAACACAGGCCATCTTTCGTCATATGTGCCATTCAACATTCCTAGCTTAAGACTTGAGCAAAAAGGTAATTACGATCAAATAATGCGAACTGTCAATAACACGGTTGGAGCAACCTTTGACTTAGATGCGCCTGAAAGAACTGGTAGAACGTTCCACCTCCGATTGATTTTTACGGCAAGAAGACAGCAAAATAACATAGCATTAGCTCACGCGTCCTCCGGAATAGCTACCACATTGCTACCCGGTGGAAGAACGGCTCATTCCACTTTGAAATTGCCATTGAACATGCAATTCATTGAAACCCCCACATGCAACATTTCTAAGACGTCCAGCATTAGGAAATTATTGTAGTGGTGTAAACTTATTTTTTGGGATGAATGCACAATGGTGCACAAAAAATCGCTAGAGGCACTTGATCGATCGTTGCAAGATCTTCGAGGAAACAGCTGACCATTGGGGAACACAGCATTACTGCTTCGCGGAGATTTCAGGCAAATGTTGCCTTTAATTCCTCGACCTACACCAGCAGAGGAAATAAATGGTAGATTGAAGTAGTCTTCTTTGTGGCTTCACATTAAGACGTTAAAATTAACTGCAACTATAAGTGCCCACCTTCAGAGAAGTTTATCCAACTCCATAGCAGACCATCCAAGGAGAAGTTACCAGTGCAAACGGCTGAAAAGAAAGTTGTTTATTTATTCTTGCCCTTCAAAGGGGACCATGTTTCAAACAACACTGGTCACAAGCTCAGGTTTGCTCTCATGCGCATTTGCACCACCGGGCAGTTACGCATCATCCATACCACACGAAGGCTTGCTCTCAACTACCGTTCGAGCTGCTCGCCAGTCGGTTGGGCCTCTCATGTTATTTACCAGTTCACCTGCAGTTGCGGTGACGTAGGTAGGACCGACCGCCGATTAGCTCAAAGGGTAGCTGAGCACTTCCCTCAGTGGTTAAGACAGTCCATAGGGAAACAAGAAGGCATGGATCAAACGACGAACCGAAACCCTACCTAGTCTATCACAAAGCATCTCGTGACGACTGGCCATCACATGGACCCATCAAAAGTGTTCAAAGTGCTATTGATTAACCGCAGCTTGAAGAAGCTGACGATCAGCGAAGCGCCACTGATTGCGGTGAACCGGCCGGCGTTGTGCACACAAAAGGAGCTGAAGCAATCAATCAGAATGACGATTCACCCATGTGATTTCGTTTCACTTGTAAATGCGTTATTTTCATGCACTCATAAGCAGGGGATTTTGATATCATTCATTGAGGTTCTTCGCAGCTAGCTTCCAAATCAGATAGTCGTCCACATGCCCGGAAAAACACAAGACTGCAGTTTCAGTCTGATGGGCATCGTCAGTAGTGCGCATCCATCAGGATTCGAGCCCATAACCACCAGCGACTTGAACCGCCAGTCAGCAGCTTATGCCACTGGGCCATGGGGGATAGGTTCGGACCGTCATGATTTACAGGCTAACTGCGATATAGCGCGTCTTATCCCCCACTGTCATGCAAGTTATGAACGTTGCAGAGGACAGGGTTGGCCACGAAAGACACGACGTCCACTAACAGTAGCTATGTACGACATAGCATTTTGAAACTGTCAGGGTGGATATATTTTGATGTACTCATGAGTAGGGGATTTTGATATTATTAAGTGAGGTTCTTCGAAGCCAGTTTAAAAAGCAGATAGCCGTCCACATGCCCGGAAAAGCACTAGATTGCAGTTTCGCGTCATTTTGAAATGTACTGCGTTTGCGACTGAGGAGAGCAGTCGAAATGTTAACATATCGCAGCTTATGTCTTCTGTTTGCGTTGAGTAAATGGGTAAAGGGGACGCACATTTCTTAACGGCTTCTGTTGTGTGTCAACACATAATGTTTGTGAAAACCATAGTCTCGATCAAGGAATATGGAAGAAAAACGTAGGGAAATCAGTAGCAGACAGTAACATACCGGTATCACGGATGAAATTTTGTGGGCGTTCACCAGTGTCCACGAAATGCTGACAATAGTCATTGTGCGGATTTGCGCTTTGAGTCCCCTACAAAGGAATGTGTAATGTGCATAACGTATGGAGGGGAAGGTGTCGTTTTTATATGAGTAAAAAATGTTACGGTGAGGTGAACTTTAACCATAAATAAATGAGGCAATTTTTAAGTGGAGCAGAATAACGTGAACGCCGACGCTGCATCAAGAAATACGATGATGAAGAAACGAACGATCGACTACGATGAGGAACAGCATGGTCCCAGTGACAAGCAGTGAGACGTGAGAGAGTCAAGGAAATAGAGAGCGAACTTTCGAGGGTGTGTGGAGGAGTATTTCACATGCTGCTAAATCACAAACGACTCATGCACGTCTATTGCTGAGAAATCAAAAGGTGTAGATAGGGATATCAACACAACGATGGCAAAATGGTGAATGTGTATATCGTGAATGCTGAAATATCTTTGCAGCTGGGTAGCAGTCAATACAGGCGGCAACGGAGAGGCTGCAGGACCCTGACCGTTGTCGGAAATAGCTGGTCGTTAGTTACGATCTCAGAACAAATGCTGGGTGAACACATAAACGCGCAGAATAAAAATGCGAAAACATCTCCAGTAAGCCACCCAGATACAAACTTTTAAAAACGTAGCAGAACCGGCGTAGCTCTCGCGGAACAAATCGTTCTTGTAATCTGACTTCAGAGGACCAGAGTCACTTTGATCGAATAACCGTTTGCACTCATTGGGAGCCGGATGGTGGGGGAAATTCGAAGTGGGTGCCACACTATCAGTTGCTGCGGATGATGAGTGAAAATCGCGTATATTCTCGAGTAAAAGTGATTGAATCTTGGCCCGCACACGCCGGCTGATCCTGGGCAACGTAATTCGAGAGATGTGGGGCCTAAAACATCGAGTAGGATTAATAAAAAAACAGATGCAAAAATAATTCGAAAGAGATTGGAATAAAGCATGGTGCGAAAAGTGATCAAATGTGAAACTACCAAGCCCAATATCCATCACCCAATGGAATCACGACAATGGATTGTGACGTGACATTCCCTTAATGTTTGCTCGTACTACGTCTCCGAAACGCACACACACGACAACAGCGTTTCAATGCATTTGCGCTTACTAGACTCGAATCCTAATGACGGAACGTACATATCCAACATTCTCGGTGGTGCCGAGTACATCCTCACGGTAGTTAGAAAGTCGCGGTCAATTTCTAGAACAAATCCAAGTGAACGACTGCAGGTGTACCTGTCGACCTCGAAGCTCCATCGGAGCTCACAAGTAGCGGTTAAGTGAAAAGTGCTTAGCTGTTGCTTCGTCTTACATTCCCGCCGATTGTAGCTTTCATGCGCCCAAGAAAGAAGATTATCAGCAACAACATAAGGCTTGCTGAACAACAACCTCCTGCTAGTGTCATCTGGTTGGTTTGGGTTCATCCCGTTCCAGCAAATAGTTCGGCGGCAGTGTCTAAGGGTTTGGTGGGTTGTCGACTGTCAAGCGTCACCCTATAACATGCCACATATGTCGATCAAACAATATAGCAGAGGTGAATTGCTATTAAATAAAATAACCGCCCCTTGCTTTCATCCGGTGAAGCATGGTGATAAGGATTAGGTCCCTGTGGTAACCGATCCAATGAAATGCGTATGAACCGAGTAATCAGCCACGAGTTCCAAAATGGGCGCAAATTCGCTTCTCTGCCTTGTGGGTAAGCTATATTCAGTCAAAAATTCGATGTTAGAGTTTCCCCTCCCTCGGGTTAAGTTTAGCACTAGGGTTGCATCACGCACTCTGACAAAGCCATGAGAATTGCTTGGCATGTCGTGCTCAGTTTTGTTTCCACGAAGCCTGCACATCTCCTAATAAACTTCTGTGTCGATTTATGTTGCCCCCTTGAGACAATCTACTTAGATTGAATGATTTTCATATCTGCTGCTCAAGAAATTGCGAAGAAAAAAAAGAACAGGCTTATAAACAGAAGCTAACGTGACACATTGTCACCACCTTCCCCAGACTTTGTTGGACCACATTATTGTTCACAGGGAACTGAAACCAAACAAGGCTAGTGGTCCGGACGCTAGATCATCAACTGTTCTAAAATGGTGTGCGGCGAATGCTTCACAGTCATTTATGAAAGATTATAAACGGATTAGATGGAAATTGGGTGTCGCCCACCCGAAAACATTGCACAACCACGACGCGTTTCGATGTAATTCCAACTCATCAGGTGGAGACAACAGGCCTCGATCTCGCGACCATTGGAATAGGAGCCGAAACCTCTACCCCTTTGGCTACCGGGTCACGGTGGGCAACGCTTTTTGTCACAACGGTAGATGACTAATTGGAGGGTCAAGTTTGGAGTACACGTTGTGTGATTGGATTGCGACGCGCAATCTCAATGTAATGGACTGTGATTCACATTGAAATGAACCTTAGTCACTGCGATCACTGGGACCGTATTCAAAGTAGTAGCAGTGACTAAGGTTCATTTCAATGTGAATCACAGTCCATTACATTGAGATTGCGCGTCGCAATCCAATCACACAACGCGTAATCCAAACTTGACCCTCCAATTGTAAACGGATGTTTAACGACTCGTATCATCCCGGACCTCCGGAAAGCAGCCAGTGTCTAGAAAACAACTGCATAAGGGTAGACGTATTGCGTGTAATTCCGACCTGTTGAGGGTGATTCCCCTGTCGTCGTATATATTTTCATGTTATTGTGTTGGCACTGAAGAGACAATACGAAATGTTGACATCTGCCAGTGTTTGTCTTCTTACGGGTTTATTCAAATTACTAAAGGGATCTAATTGTTTCAAAAATACTGATAATGTTACTCAGCTTCTCTATAAGCCAGGGTGCGCTAAATTGGATGCCACTTTGTATCTGGTGCATTCCATTGCACGAAAAGTACAAAAAACCAAGGTCATACAGCTTCTGTTCCTTAATCATACAAACACCTTTGGCAGGCTAGACAGCTTGTTACTGTAAAATGCCGCTTCCTAACATGTATGTTATGTAACTCGTGACTAGTTCACAAATCGTACACTCCAAGTAGACCGTGGTGTTTCGTATTGTCTTTCTACGCCGAACACCTTCCCATACCAGCCAATTTCAGCGGATGTACATACGCAGGTGCGTAAACTCAGATGGAGGTCCATCGCTTATTCGGAAGTTAACCTCCCTCTTCCCAGAGGTTTGGACCACCGGAACAAACCCGTCTGATTGGATCCCAGCGGACATCATGCCCGTCCTCAAAAAGGATGCCGGTTAGACTGTGGTAATCAAAGAGGAAGCAGTTTTATCTGCGTCGCATCTAAGGTGCTCACCACTCTGATTTAATGTACCTCAGCCTGATACGCGAACAGGACATACGTGAAGAGCAAGCTGGGTTCTGCACTGGCCGAAGTTACATTGGTCGCATCTTTACTCTCCGGCAAATACTCGAGCGTCGTTAAACGTTCAGCCGGCCGGTTATCTTCTTAGACATAGGAGCTGCGTTTGATCCACTTAACCGAGCTGTCCTCTGGAGCTTTATTTTGATAAGAGGAGTACCTGAAAAGAACGTCAACATTCTTCAAGCCATCTACTCTCGAACGTCGGGCCGAGTGCGGATGTACGGCGATCTTCGCCTCCCTTTAGTATCACAAGCAGCGTGAGACAGGAGTGCCCAGCATCACGCTTCCTGTTCAATATCGCTATGAATGACATCCTGAAGAACGCGCTGTAGAACTGCGAATCCAATGACGCTGAGCTGCCTACAAGGAACCGACTTCGGGATTTAGAGTGTGCGGATGACATCTCCGTAACTTGCGATTCCTCATAGACCACCCAAAATGTACTGTGCAGGTAAGTGTCCATGACCCAGTTTGAAATGACCATCGCCCGGTCAAACAGGATTGCCTAGAAACGGCAGCTGTCCCTATCCTCGGGAAGTGGTATACAAGTTCGTTTACCACGGAAACTCACTCAGTGCGAATAGTTTAACGCATGAGGTCTGTTTGCGCGTCTCTAATATCCGAGTTGGGTTTGCTAGTCACCGCCAACTCCGGTATCAAGGCGGTTTGAGTCTCTGTTTGAAAGGTCGATTCTATAGTGCCACGGTGCGAGCGGTCCTGTTCTACGGCGATGTGACAGCCGATTCGTCCAAAGGACGTCCAGAATCTGTCTGACTTTGGTCACCTCTGCCTTCGGAGCATTACTGGGGTAAGGTGACAATACCGCATTAGCAATGAGGATGTTCACCGAAGGATTTTCAGATCGAACAGAGCTTGCCGGCCGCTGAGCTGCATAATTTCATTGCATATGCTTCGGTGGCTTGGGAACGTGCTTCGTACACCTACTGGACGTTTACCTCACCGTGCACTGCGAGCACAGAAGTCGGCTAGAAGCAAAGACAGGGTGGCCAGTGAATGACTCGGGCCAAAAGTGTGAAGGTACTGACCCAACGTTTGGCTGTGGTCCGACGCTTTCGACCAACTGACTGGGGGCGCAAGAATCAGGACCACATGTGGCTGGAAACACTATTGGACACGACAATAAAAGGTGCGCAACAGCAAACATGTTGTGAGAAGTTACCCCGTAGCTGCAGTTCCACACTTCTTTTATAACCTCGCGATTCCTTCATTACCGAAGCATCTATTTCCCGATGAGATTTTCAACAAAAAAGTTAACATGATAACACCGCACGATTTATATCCTGACAAATTTCTCTGCATATTATCCAGTGCGTGCTACAAATACCGTGCAAACATATGCACATAGCATCATAAACATCTAGGATAGATGCGATAACAAATTCTCTAAAGAACATGCACCGACACACACATGGACAAAAATTCAGGTCAATGGTTCGTTTATCAGCTGGCCTACTAGCACGATAAAGCAAATGTGATGAACGCGTCCTTTGTACACACAGAGTGAGGACCAGTTGTTTGATGGCCACCGTAAAACGTGGGGGTTATTTCACGCGAAGATCACCCGGGACGTGCGCGCAGGGTCCACGTTGTGTTTGTACGTCAGCAGATGACGGGCGATGGACGAGGCTGCAATTTTGCATGGCAAATCATTCGGCACATGCTGCGCGATTTTAACCTGCAGCTGACGCTCTTGTAGCGTGTTTGAAAGCATCCTTGATTCACCCTAAAAGGGTAAGAGATCGCTGCTTCCTTATAAGATAGCTATCGTTGTTTCTTCTTCAGTCTGCTCCCCTATCCTCACAATACAACACTGTTGAGCCAGCTCTTACAATCTAGCTCGGCCTCTTACTAGGTGGTTGTCATAATACCATCCAAACACCTACGAAGTATCTGCTTTTCTTTTCAGTCCCATCGGTTGCTGGTAACGAACGCGAGGGCAACTTGAATCCCGATTCAACTCACGCGTGTGACATGCAGCCATCTCGAGCTCACTGAGTTCGATCCTAACCCACTGGGTCTTACCTGCTCCTACTGAGAGCAATGCACGCTACACTCTACCATACTCATGTAGTGGGCCATGTAACTACATGTAAATTGGTACAGGACGTGTGAACGGCTAGACAGAGGTACTGGTGGCTTAACCGAGGGAGTACGGATGTGAGTCTCTGTGTGCAGTAAAACCGGTCACACTGTGGGGTACTCACGCGCCACTGCGGACTTCAAACGTCGTTGGAATAATTGGGTAATATCGTCCCCCTTATACGGTAGTTAGAACATTACTTTCAATTACGGTACGGTGGATTCCGGATTTGCCTGAAACTGTGGCCACCAGAAGACAGCCACAGAACGCCTGTGTCTACAGAGGGATCATGGGTAGCTTGCGCTGCAACACCTACAGCTCCATCAACAAATCCCATATCCAGTGGAAACCCGAAGGAATAAGATCGGAAGGCATGCGGATGGGAAGCATGTTTAAATAACGGACCCGGCCTACACACACTTTCAACATGCACAACAGCAGCATCAATGTCTATCTACTCTGGGAATCATATCATCATCAACAGCATTACATCAGCCATTTGA